TGATAGAACATACTCATAACCAAATCAATAAAAACAAGTTTAATACAAACCACACTGCCGGGAAATGCTATCACACAAACGTGGGCTAGAGCTAAATAAACAAAACAAAGCTAACATCAACAAAGTCTAAGAGATAAAGCAGTTACACTCAACTGAACCTTTATTCCCATCCAACCTACAACCACATAACCAACTAGACATGACCACGGGCCACCCGGCACGGACTCGGCCCGAACCCAACCCGGTCAAACCCGTTGACCATGGGTCCGAGCCCGGACCGGGTTTTCGACGGGCCGTTTTAAAGTCGTTATTTCATGACCCTGGCCCGGCGGGCCGTGCCGGGTCCGGGCTGATGACCCTTTTTTTTATATTTTTTTGTATTATTCTATACTTTTTTTTGTAAAAAATGACCCGACCCTAACCGACACGAACCTGGACCCAACCCGGCCCGATTAACCGAGACATGGACCCGGCACGAGCATAGGTCCGTGCCGGTTCAGGGACCATGAAACCCAACCCGGAGGGCCGGGCCTTGACCCGGTACGGATTTTGGCCATGTCTACAACCAACCAAAAAACAAAGCCGAAGAGAAAAACACTCAAAACAAGAGACCTAGCACCTACTACTCCTCAGATAAGCCCACCACTCCTGGATTGCAACTTTGATGACAATCTGTGCTGGCCTCCTAATTTTTTCAAACATCCAAAGATTGCGAAACTTCCAAAGCCACCAAAGAATATAAGTCGATAGTTGTATCCTAACTTCGGAAGTCTCCCTTCTGTCCAGTTGGCGAATCTGCCACCACCAAGGTTTAAATGTCTCTGCTCCCTGAGGCCCAACCCATCTAACAGAAACCAATTTCGAAACTAATTGTGCAAAGTTGCAGTGGAATAGAACATGTTCTATAGACTCCTCCTTCTCTCTACAAACTCTACATATAGTATCCACCCCACGCCCTTGGCTCTTAAAGTCAGATTCACAGGCAAAGAACCATTACAACACCTCCATATAAAATGTTTAACTTTACCAAGTACCTTAAGTTTCCAGCTTCTTGTTCTAACCTTGATGTCTGTGTTTAAGCCCATGCTGCCTTGTAATCTGTCTTGTTTAAGAAATTTTTCAGTAAAATAAGTTGAGCATAAGTAGACTGGTCTGTAAGCAAACCCTTCTTATTCAAAGACCAGACCCAAGTATCTTCTTTGTTTGGATCAATGGTATCAATGCTTAAGATGGAACTGCAGAATTCATGGGCAAAGATTGATCTAACTTTGGACTCATCCCACCTGCTGCTATCCCTTGTCATTAAGTCCTTGACCCATTCAATCCTTCTATCCATTCCAGGCAACAACTCCACTTCTCTACCTATGACTTCTGGAATCCAATGCTGATCCCACACCCTGGTATTATGGCCATTCTTCACTTCAATTTTCATCCAGTTGCCACATGTCTTCAAGACAGATAGCCAACTATTACATAACCAAGAGGAATTCTGCTTTCTCTGAGCTTCAAATAAGTTAGTGTTACGAAAATATTTGGATTTTAAAACTTTACTAACCAACCTCTCAGGCTCAATAACCAGTTTCCACAGTTGTTTTGCAATCAGGGCAGTGTTAAACAACTAAACATCCTAGAACCCTAACCCTCCATGCTTCTTAGCAAATGTTAACTTGTTCCAGTCAACCCAATGCATTCCTCTCTAAAAATCAGAGCCCTTACACCACCAAAACTGACCACAAACCCTGGAAATTTCTTTGCAAAACCATACAGGAATCACAAAACAAGACAATGCAAACATTGGTAAAGCATTAAGCACAACTCATATCAATACCTCCTTAACAATAAATGTCAACCATTTGTTTTTTCAGCTGAATATCCTGTTCCTCACCACAGTTAAAATATAATCAAATGCATCCCTTTTGGAAGAGTTAGGTGGGCCAATTTTGGTGGGTGGTGGGTTGAGAAGTGGGCTTTAAATGGTTGGGCTAGATAAAGAAAAGGAAGAAATGGGCTGAAGAAGTGGCCCAGTGGGAAAACCCAATGAACCGAAAACAAGAGGGGTACCTTGAGGTTGAACGGGCTCTTTCGTCTGGGCTATCGACAAGAGGTCCAAGCGGCCCATATGAAGGCTCGGCTGAGAGAGAGTCACGTCACCTCTCAACCCGTCATACCCTAACATTTGGCCTTCACATATAAGGGGGTTGGGAGTTTGAAGCTGCTGACTAGTCAAACCGACCAAGGAGGCGGTGGGTCAAAGCCATCTGGAGGCTGTTGACTGGCCAGAAAATAGCCAGCGTGAGGACCGACAAATGTCTGTGGCCCGTCTGATGGCAACAAACTGGCGAGGGAAGGACCAGGCGGCGAACCAACCGGTGAGACTCTAAATTCTGAGAACAATGCCATGAGGATGGTGGCCACGTGAGCTATCTTCTCCGCACGAGAAGTCGGCCCTAAAACCGCCGGGGTCGAGTTTTCAGTGACGAGAACGACTGTCGCACGAGCATCAACCTTCGGGATCACCGCCTGCTCAGGTAGGTAATCGACGGGGCCGAGAGTAAAGGAGCGACGACAGCGTGAGCTTTCAGTCCGCCGCCTGCTGCTGGCAAGAGAGCAATGCCCGCCAAACCTGAGTAGAAGGAGGTGACTGGCGAGGATTGAGCAGCGTTTGAATGACCAACATCTCCTTCATTGTGGCCGTCTGCTGCCGCTGGGTTGGCGCCGGCGGGAGCCAAGGAAGTCAGACTCTGGTTGGACGGCGCCGGAAACAAAGAAATGAAAGAAAAAACTGAGAAAAATAAGAAGAGAGGGAAAAGGGACCAAAAGCTAAACACCAAAAAAATGAAAAGACACCATAAACCAAAAGGCAAAGGAAAAGGGAGTAAAAGAAAATAAAATGAGAGAAATCTAGAAGGAATGAGGAGAAAAAACCTAAAGAGAGAAGGATCATTTTTTTTATTGTCATTTTAGTCCTATGTTATTGTGTTCTATCTTACCAAAAATACCTAGAAACAATTCATAGGAACACAAATAAGGTAAATGAAAGAGTTATACATATGACAACATCACACAATTTTGTTGCAATCCTAAAAAGTGAAAATGAAATGTATCCCAAAGAAATTATATCAAAGTGTCAAAAAGAATCAAACAATAGAATTGGAATTAGTTTTATCCCATCATATGCAGTATTAAAAGATAAGTTCAAGTTACAAATAACAACACTTTCAATCTTGCGATTCATCGTTTGAGGGCTTTGATTTCGATTTATAGTTTTCCATTCATTCTTCAATCANTAAGGTTGCAATTTTAGTCTAAAAGTGCATCTTCCTTACTCTTCATTTATCTTCAACAGCCCCAGCTTTGTCGTGCAACTTAGGAACCAAACTCTGTTGGGAATTAGGGCTCGAATCTGGTTCGTACCATAGAAAAAATCGCATTCCGTCTTCCAATTCTTACAGCCATAGAATTATTTTCTAGGATTCGAGCTCGTATTCGATGTCCTTACATGCGTCCTCAAGCCGCAATAGTGTATAACAAGTTTTATAGGATCGAAGCTTGTATTTGAATAGAACGAACAAGAAGACTTCAGTTTTTCTAAATTTCAATCGCCATTTTCTTCGAATTACGTGTAAATTGTAGATCTTTGTTTGTTTTTTAATCTAAAAAAAATGACTTAGGAAATTAGAAGAAAAACGATAAAATGAATCAAAGTTGAGGCATATAAAATACGCTCTCATTAAGACCAAATAGCACTGTGTATTACCCATGATTCATGGTTAATGCATCCAAGATACAATGACTCTTGATTTGTGTATAGCGGTAACTCAAATAAACAAACATTCATGCTTTTATGAAGTTTGTAAAATGATGCAAAAAGCTCTTAAAGTCTGATTTTATGAATGATTTTTCTTCATGAGAGGGCTGAATCAGGCATCGCGCCCTCGACGGGGCTTCGCAAGCACTTGCACGTCGGAAGCTTGTCCTCGCTCATCCGGACACGAAATTGTATCGGTTTTTTTTTCTATTCGTCCCCAACGAACCCTTCTAGAGCTCCATCATGCATACTGCATGATTATGGCTCATTTGGCTTGTCCAAACATTCGTCAAACACATAATGTTTGTGTATCCTACAACCTTTGAGCTACTTAAACTCAATTTTGAGTTACATAAACCAAAATTTCTCCAAATTTTAACTATAGAATTAACTTCCCATTCAACCTAAAATGGTTTTGAAATTTTTTATTTTAGGTATTCAACTCACAAAAAGTAGAGAGGTAAAATCGGCACAAAACTAATTTTTCTCACATTAGGTTCTACAAATTTCAAGAGATTTTGATTTTGTCGGGTTTCTTGTGGAAGAACAAGTATTTTATATGGGAATCAACGTAATTCAATTTGATAACATCCAACAGTACAAAAGGATATGAGGAAAAATGCCACATATGAATATAATCCGGCCACGTCGACATTTAGTTAGTCCTTCCCGACTTTTGTACGATTTTTTATGATATTATTAACTTAGTAAGCCATTATTGATGACACTCAATATAATAGACCATTTTTGTACAATAGCCACGTTAGTAAAATAGAGCATGTGGTAAAGTGTGGAGATGAAAATGAAATTTTGCCCCACCCTAATGAAAATATCCCAACATGTGGTCATTAGTGTCATGAGCTCAAAGACCTGATATGCAGTTGTACTTTTCTTTTAAGTTATCCCGTCTCCAAAAAGAGTGAACCAATTAAATTGGAGGGTCTTTTAATAAGAAATTCAAGAAAATCGATCCAATGT